AGAAGTGAAAGAACTAGAGCAATACCATGTGGCAGCTCCTAATGAATACTGTGTCTAAGTGACATAATCATCAGTGGCTGCTCACATCCCCCAAAGGGAAATAGCCAGCCCTTATGTGCTTCCTCAGATGCTTAATGCCTCTTGAACCTGACCAATATCCAGATCCAACTCTCAAGTCATAGGAAATACAGGAGTCAGAGGAACATTTTGAACACCACCAACAAACTGAGAAATGGTATTGGACAAGTAACCTGATTTCTTCAACAAACAAATCGCAAGGAAAAAAAAAAAAAAAGAAATCGAAGGGGAACGAATAGATTACAAAAGGTTATTAAAATAAAGATATGGAGATTCAATATGTTAACAAATTTCATTAAACCTCATTCAGATCCTTAGTAAAATAAACAAATGGTACAAAGACATTTATGAGACAATGGGGGAACTTTAAATGCTAACTCATTGATGATTTTAAGAAGTTACTGTTTTTAGGTGTGACAACAGTATTGCAGTTACATATACATACATCTATTTTTAAGTTTATGTATTTATTTTGAGACGGAGAGAGAAAGAGAATCCCGAGCAAGCCTTGCACGGTCAGCGCAAAACTGGACACAGGGCTCCATCTCACGAATCATGAGATCCAGAGCTGAGCCAAAATCAAGAGTCAGTCACTCAGTTGACTGAGCCACCCAGGTGCCCCTCTAGCTATATTTTTTTGAAGGCTTTACCTTTTATAAATACACACTGAAACGGTTGTAGATGAAATAATATCTTAAGTTTGCTTCAAAATAATCCAGCAGTGAGAGAGGGGAAAGGTATAAACAAAACAAGGTTGGCCCATAACTTGGTAATTGCTGAAGCTGGGTGATGGGTGCATCTTGCTTATTAGTCTATTCTTTTTATATATGTTTGAAATTTTCCACAATAAGGAGAGTTAACAATGAAAAATACCAGCATTTTTCAACTTCTTTAGTAATCAAGGAAACCCCATATGAGTATCAATTCTGAGGTATTGTCGCTGGGTTGTTTTAAAATAAAATTTCTGGATAGTCCTACAAAATTCAAAAACTATTATTATTTTTTTAAGTAGGCTTCAAGCCCCGCACAGAGCCTGATGTGGGGCTTGAACTCACGATCCTGGGATCAAGATCTGAGCTGAGATCAAGAGCCGGATGCTTAACTGACTGAGCCACCCAGGCGCCTCTCCCCAAATTATTTTTAAATAGCATTTTGTGTGGCCTGGGTTGGTATGGGCAGGTTTTGAGTAATTTGGTTAATGTTAACACAGAGTAGAAATATTTAAACTTTTTTTCTACGGAAGACAGAAAAAAAATTCCTTATAACTGGTTGCAGTTGTTTGCTCAGGCATACTACCCACATTGCTCTCACCCTAAGTCAGAGACAAAAGGAATGCCAATGACATGAAATACAGTAGGATTTTGACAATTATTTAATATACCATTGATGTGCCATGTCAACCCATTAGTAGCATAAGAAATTTGTGTTTGATTTAAACTAATTCTTTATGTGCTTCTTAGTTCAGATTAAAAAAGAAATAGTGCCAACCAGAAGTTGACATCTGTTTAAAAAAAATTCACTCTATGATCTTCTAGTAGATATCAGGAAACACTTTTTTTTTTCATTTTATTTTTTTTAATGTTTATTTATTTTTGAGAGACAGAGTGCAAGCAGGGGAGGGGCAGAGAGAGAGGGAGACACAGAATCCGAAGCAGGCTCCAGGCTCCCAGCTGTCAGCACAGAGCCTGATGCAGGGCTTGAACTCACGAACCTTAGTTCAAAGCCGAGCCGAAGTTGGCTGCTCAACTGACTGAGCCACCCAGGCGCACCTTCATTTTATTTATTTGAGAGAGAGAGAGAGAGAGAAAGAGAGGAGGAGCAGAGAGAGAAAGAATCCCAAGCAGGGTCCATGCTCAGCTAGAACCCCAATGCAGGGCTGGATCCCACCTGGAATCATGACCTAAGCCATGATCTGAGCAGAAATCAAGAGTCAGATGCTCAACTGACTGAGCCACCCAGGTACCCCACAAGGAAACACTCATTTAGGACTAAGTTTGAAGAGGGGTTCAACCTCCGTGGGTTATTAATAGGATTTTTTAAAGGTGTATTTATTTATTTTGAGAGAGCAAGCACAGGAGGGGCAGAGAGAGGAGAGAGAGAATCCCAAGCAGTCTCCTTGCTGTCAGCACAGAGCCCAATGCGGGGTGTCAATCCCACCAACTGTGAGATCATGACCTGAGCCCAAAGCAAGAGTTGGCTGCTAACCAACTGAGCCACCCAGACACCCTAACCTCCATGGGTTATTAAAATTCCAGTCCTAATTTATGACTAAGCATTTCTAAACCACTAAAAATGTGCAGCTGTGGTAGGGAGAAGGGAGGAACCAGTTTACCCTGTAGAGGCTTACATTCTTGGGGAAAAAAGCCTTCCTTCTAGAATCTGTGCTGTGGCAGGCAGGTACTCCTTGGGTGGGGGCATCCAGGGAATGGGGGACAGTTACTTCTTATGACATAGGAAGCTCCATTCTCAGGGACTTCTGCCCTCCCCGCCTCCTTCCTTTCCCATATTAGTAAACATTTGGGGGATTTTCAAAGCTCCAAAGGTTGGTGATAACAGGTGGTGACAGCTTGATGCCCTGCAACCAAGGTGAATAGCAGCACAGTGGCCAAGCCTGACCTCGTGACAAACTTAGACTTGGCACCAGAGATGGCTGCAAAATTGTAGGGCTTATTTTCACTTTTCAAGAAAGGAGAAAAGCAAGTTATTTTCTGGTGTCCAGACTCAGACACTGGGCAACGAAGTGGAATGTTTTTGGATTTCATGGGCTTGTGTGTGTGTGTGTGTGTATGCGCGCGTGTGCGTTCATGTGTGTGTTTATTAAGTAAGTTCTTTTTTTTTTTATTATTATTAAGTAAGTTCTAAGCCCAATGTGGGGCTTAAACTCATGACTCTGAGATCGAGAGTCACATGCTCCACAAGTAGCCATAGCAAAGAAGAAATTATGTGAAGACATAAAATACCTCCAGAAACTGAGGGGAAATTGAGGCTAATTAGCAGAACCACTGAATGACAGCATAGAGAAGGCCCTTAGGGAGCCTACAATCCAATCTCCTTACCTTACAATGATGGCAAAGCAGACCCAGAGAGGGGACCCGACTTTTCCCAAGTCTTAGCAAAACAGGAACAGCGTCAGGCTTAGAACTCACTTCTGATTCCCAGAGCAAGGGTCTTCATGCTGGCCTGATAAATATGGTAGGTGGCATTCAGGGGCCAAAGCTACAGCTTAACCAAGTTAAGAATGGGGCAGAGTCACCCAAGTAGGCACTGGGAAGAGCTTCAAGGAGGATGGCTGGCATCAGTCCGTCTCGAGTACTGCTGACTTTCAACCTCAGGGGGCTGGTCATCTTAGGTGGATGAATTAACACACAGGTCTTTCTGGTCTGCATTAAGGCTTTTGAGGACTCGCCTAAATTCAGAAACTTGGAAGTAACTTGTAACATCAAGGCAAGGATAGGGCCCAGGCTGTTCCCTCTAGGGTATTCAGAAATTTCTCCCGAAGGCAAGTCAGGAAGAGACTTTGATTTGGTCCCAGCAGAAACTCTTCCGGAAGCTCAGGGGCAGCGTCTGTCTGCTTTGCCCCCTAGACCTGCCCATCTGCCCCAGAGATGGTCACTGCCTAACTGGCCTCGTCGAACTGTAACCTCAACCTGAGAGTGTCTGTTGGCATGGACTGGATTCTAGCCACTATAATCAGAGGACGGCGGAGGGGGGTATACTGACCCTCTCCCTGCAGGGTGGGAGGGACACCCTCTACTCCACCTCTCCCTGCAACCCCACAAATCTTTGAAAGAAGCTGGACTTCGGGACAAAGATATCACAGATGGTCAGGGCGCTCTCTCTTATTCTCTAGGAACCTGACCCCACAAGGACAGGGCACCCTTAAACAATCATGAGGAGGGGGAGACAGCAAACAAATAAGGGTAAATGACAGCTGGGTACAGACCCATCAGCCTCTGAAAACAGGACAGAGGGAGCACCAAAGCATCCAGCCAGTTCCAGAAATCTGTGTGGGGTGGGCACAGGATTCACGCATTCACCCTACCTTCCCCAGTGCTAGCTGGCCAGGGGAACCAGGCTGCCCTCCAGAGCTCAGACTGTGGGGCTTGGGACCTGGGCATGGGCAGGAACTTACAGCTTCGTTGGCTGCCTCTGTCTTCCCTAAATAATCTCAGCCCACGGCACCCCAAGAGCTCAAGGGGCAGAGACCACAATTCTTGCTGTCACCTGAAACGCCAGCTCCAGCCTGCCCAGCCTCCTTGCTCTTTCCCCAGCTGCAAGAACTTTCCTTCTTCCTAAGGTGACTTTGGATCAGATCTCCAGGCTAAGAGATCGGCCCCAGCGCGCCCGACCGGGACGGGCCTGGCGCACGGGTGCGGCCGAGTCGTGCTGGGGCAGCTCCACGCTGCCTCCTGGGCCGCCGCGGGCCACTACAGTTGCAGACCCGGCTGGGAAAGGAGAGAGGCTGACCCCTCTGAGGACCATCAGGGAAGCGTCCGACTTGGGGTGAGGGGCAGTCAGGACAAGGAAATCGATTTGTCTGGGGAATGAATGAATGAGTAAATGAATGAACACACGAATGAATGAATAGCGATGGTATCGGAGACGCGGTAAGAAGCGTCCCAAGGAGAGTGCCCTCCACCATCCTGATGCCGCCCAGACTTCTCTCATGCCCCAGGTACGGAGTGCACACAGCAGGGCCATCTGCCCCCTCATCAACACCTCGCAGTCCCCCGGGGGCGCCGGGGCCCGCGCAGCAAAGCTCTGGAGCCGAGCGCAAATTCTGGTGGCCGGAAAGTGCCTGCCCCGCGGGGAGATTGCACCCAGGCGCAGGGTCCCCCGAGGCCGCCTCGCCTCGCCCCGCGGGGAAGCGTTCCCTCGGCCCCCAGAGCCCCGAGCCCAGCCCGCTGGCCGCAGCTCCTTACCTGCCCGCCTCGGCGGCCTCGCCCCGGTTCAGAGCGGTCATCGCGGCGCCTCCAGCTAGCGCCTGGGACCGCGCGGCCGGATCCGGCACCCTCCCGCCCGCCTCCGCCCCGAGGGCCCGCCCCCACCCGCCCATTGGCTGCTGCGCGGGACCGGCCCGCCTATTGGCTGTTACTCCCCCTGGAACGCCCCGGGCTCTGCGCAGATTCTACCCCTCCCACCTCCGGACCCGCAAGTCTCGGGGGCCCGGCCTCGGTCTGCACTTCGTGCTCCTCGCAGCGCAGACCTTGGGTTCCCTCCAGGCTCTTCCTCTTCAGCCCTGCCAGTCTCGGAGCCCTCTGCAGCAACCTCCTCCAAACCCTCCCGACTCTGAGCTCCTGGGCAGGTTTCAACTTCTCCCCACACTAACGAAGGGAGGTATTTTGTTTTTGTTTTTTTAAATTATTTATTTATTTATTTCTAGGAGAGAGAGAGAGAGACAGCGCGAGCAGGGGAGGGTCAGAGAGAGAGGGAGACACAGACTCTGAAACAGGCTCCAGGCTCTGAGCTGGCAGTCAGCACAGAGCACGACGCGGGGCTCGAACCCACGAACCGCGAGATCATGACCTGAGCGAAAGTCGGACGCTTAACCGACTAAGCCACCCAGGCGCCCCGAAGGGAGGTATTTTGAACTGGATAGTCGGGCTGTCGGGAGCAAGAATGCTTTCATGCTTTTCCCAGAGTTGGGTCCTGCGGAGGGACCGAAGATGGCCAGAACGAAGTGGGGAAGCAAGGCAGTAAAGCTCAGAGTGGTGCGATGTCACAACGACCTGGGCTTGGGAATGGGGCCAAAGCCCTGTCCCGCCATCTTACCTGGCCTGCAGGACCCCTCCCTCGTCCCACCAGGTGGGGCCTGGCTCATGGAGGGGATCTAGAGGGGGAAGGTGCAAGCCAGATTCAGTTCCATTGCCAAACCTCTCTCCAGCCCTTAGCCCTCCTTTGTCAAGGGGATAAGACATCGGCAAACGGATGGGGACAAAGAGAACCAAGAGATAAAATTTTCTGGAAACTGGGAGCCGTACCTGGGGTCTCCCTACAGTGCCCTTATGTTAGAGGCCTCTACCGCAGAAGACATAAAAGGAGGTGCAGGGCAATGGCCACTTCACTCAGTTTACCCACAAGAGCAGAAGGGAGGGGCCCTTGTTGCTGTCCTCTCCTCTTTGGTCCAAATTAGCCAATAAAATGTCCCCAGCTGCAGTTTTTAGAGACCCACTTCCTCAGGGTGCCTGAGGATAAGGGGTAACCTGTATCAAGACAGCTACTGCCTTCCCAGCACCTCTGCACCCTGCGGATGAGATGGCAGGTGACCTGGGTTGTCACACAGGAGCGACCGCCAGGAGCTGCGATGCCCTTACCAGTTTCACCCTCAGAGGACAGGGTTCACCCACCACACTGCTCCCCCCCACCCCCATCAGAAACGAGAGGAAACTGGTGCTTCAGCTGTTGTTTATTGACACAGGAAGGCTCTATAGCAACAGGCCGGGAGGTGGCGCAGTAGCAGGGAAAACGGAGGGTGGGGGGAGTGTTTGCCTGCAACGACAGCTGAGTGGAGTGTAGGAACACAAGTGCACAATGCACGACAAGGTGGGAGTGGGGGGAGCCTGAGAGGGGTGGGAGAGCAAGGAAGGGCTTAGGCCAGTCTCCTTAAACTGGAACCACTGCCCTATGCCACAACTCTTGCTGGCGGTCTCTCGACGCCAGGCCAGGGGTGGGAGTTGTCCGGGTATCCGTTTTCTATAGGACCTGAATGGAGTACACAAAAAGGAGACGCAGGAGCTGTTGCCCTCTGTTAAAGCTCTGGGGCTTCTGGTCCTGCACCCTCTCTTCGTCCCTGGCTTGGGTGGGGTCACATGATGTGCAGCCCAGCTCTGGGTTACCCCACCCGAACAGGGTCTTAAAAAAAAAACAGTCATGTTTCACAGAGGCATTAATAGTCTTCCCTAGCATCCCAGCCCACTAGTGCCACATTACAACCCCCAAGTGAGCACTACAAGCATTGCTGGCCTAATGGATGGGTTGGGGGAAGGGGGTGGGACGGGGCTGGAGAAGGGGTTCTTGGGGCCTCTCATGGCACAGGCACTACACGCATGGTATTGGTGAAGCCGGAGCCAGGGCGCCACCCAGTCAGCACAATGACCACATCTCCCTTCTTGAAGAAGCCTCGGGCCTTGCCTAAAGGAAGAGAAGAAAGGTTGGTGAGTAAAAGCCAAGCCAGGCAGGTATGCCCCGCAGCCAGAGAGGACAAGCAGGGCTGGCTGATCATTACTTCCCTACGCCACAAGGTGGCGCAAGCATCTCAGCCCAGGCAAAGGGGATGAATGAGGGAAGCCCAGATATTTCCTTACCAAATAGAGTTGGCAGGGACCTTTGGACATCACTCATTTTATACCCTAGAGTGTGCAGAGCCTTGCCCAAAGTCAGAGCTAGTTGTTTCCGCTCACCCACTGACCCTTTTATCAGGGACAAAGGTCATGAGTACATAATCTGTGTGTCTGATACCCAGCAGTGTAGGAACTCGGGCTAATTTTTTTTTTTTTAACCCTCAGTAATGAGTAGAGATGCCAAAGAACAGACAACTCTGACTATCCAGGATCCTTTGCTTTGGGCCCCACACTGGAAGACAGTGAGGAGACAAAGTGGGCAGCTCAGCCCACTCAAAAGGCTCCTCCTTCCCTCCTGGGCTCAGCCCAGGCTTGAGGAAATGGGATGGAGGATTCAGAGAACATTCCCAAGGAAGACAGATAGGGCTCTTGCACACCCAAAGATCAGCATGTTCCCATTTCTGTAGGATCCCAGGGAGACCAATGCTCAAGCATCCTCCCTACCCACTCTAGCCCTTGCTCCCAGCCACGCACCAACATTCATGGCCAAGTTCACCCGAAGGTCCACGTCCTCAGCCCAGGCGTCCTGCACTGGGTCCTTACACACCACAGGGAAGATGCCGCGGTACAGGTGGGCCTGGCGGGCAGTCTGGTGGTTCCGGGTCACAGCAATGATGGGGGCTCGGGGGCGGTATCTGGCCACCTGGTGAGCAGACCTGAGATAGGATGATGGAGGGGCAGAAGAGACCATTAAACAGTGTTCCAGGAGCCTCCCAGGAAGTCCTGGAGAACCTTCAGCAACAGCTCACCCTCTAATCCAACTCACTGTGCCAGCCTGTGACCCTAGCCATTTTGGCATCTGCTCCCAAAGCTGGGGTGGCCCCTCATCCTGTATCTTCCACAGCACATACTACTACGCCTCTAGCTATGCCGCCCACTTGCCTTCCTCCTCTCCCCATAGGCCAGGGCCCCAGGGTCATACCAGCCCAGCATGGTCAGTCTCATCTCATCACCCGACATGGCCCATAGCTGGAAAAACCCCTCCTCTGAACTTTTCCATTCTGGCACAGACACAGCCCTGCCCAACCTCACCAGCACCCAGTCCTCTCGCTGCCAGCAACAGCTATAAGCCAAGCAGCATGTGAATAGCACCTGACTCTTGACATCTGCAAAGAACAGGAGCAGAGCCCACCAGCCCCCCTGGGACTCTGCAAGCCTTCCCTACTGCTGTACCCTTTCCCCAGCCCACATGGCCCCCAGGTCCCTAAAAGAGTCCCAGCAACTGGGCTCTAGAACCAAACCAGAGTATCTAAGCACAGCTTAGAAATCTGGGTGTTACCCAGGAGGCAAAACCAGGAGATGGGAAGGTTAGTGTCGTGGGCTCTGCCTGTGAAGGCTATGGAGGGTTCGGGGGGCCCAAGCCCCAAGGGCCAGGTGCTTCCTGGAACACGGACACCGCACACTTGCGCTTGCAGATGTCTCTCAGGAGTCGGGGCGGGCTTGCTTGCAGGAGGCACTGCGCCTCAGAGGGCAAGCTGTAAGGGCACTCAACAGGTGTCCAGGAAACTTAAGCCATATCACAGCAGAGAAAGCCCTGCTAAAGGCCCGGCCCCCACACAAGGCTTCCAGAGGGGAGCAAGTGCTGAAGTCGGGACTAGTAAGGGTGAAAGCCCAGAAGACTAGAGCTATAAATAGCCAAAGAGCAGAGGTTGGACCTTTTCATAAAGGTCAACCCTCATGATTGGAGCGGTTTATCCGGAGCCCTCTGCTGAGGGAGTCTGCACAGATCCCATGTCCTACTTCTACAGAAAGCCCCACCTACCACTCCTCAGTGCACGGGGACTGCCGGAACTGCTCCCCACTACCCTCTCCCTCCAAAAACACCCTCGTGGCCCCAGGGGCAGGGATGGGGAGCACACTCCCAGACCAGGGCAGTGTCAGAAGCTAACTCAATATCCCGGACTAGAAGGAGATCCCAAGGCCAAGGCCAAGCACAGGCCTCAGCGTGGTTGCACAGCACCAGAGAGCCAGCAGGATAACATGGTGACCTTTCGTGGTTTTGAACCCACTTGCCTTTGGGGCTCAAAGACTGACAGGGACAGGTGTACCAACCAAACAGCATGTCAGTGAACAGCACTAATTTTCCAAACTGACCTTTTAAAGAGCACACAGTAACTGGAATGAACGAAATGGTCATCTACTTTTTTAAAAGGTTAGCTTTTAAATACCAAAGAACCACTTAGAGTCAGTCTGTCTGTAGTTCTATGACTAAGTCTCTGATTTATCTGGAGAACATAAACTTGCTTTGGACCCAAACGATCCGACACCACGTGGGAGTGCTGCCTGGAATCCTCTGGACCCTGGTGGCAGGCAGAGGGGGTCTTACCTTGGCTCAGTGCCATCTGAGCCCTGTTCAATGCGCTGCTCTCCGGACACCCAAGAGAGGTGCCCCTGAGCAGGGCATCCCTGCCACCTCCTACCTGCCAGACTTGGTGAGGACGATTATGGCCCCACTGCAGCACTTGAACGAGGCCTCCACGGCGCCGACGGCGGCGGCTTCGGTGGGGTCGCTGGTAATGGGTGCCAGGCGGCGGAGTTCCTCAAATAATTGCAAGTGGTAGATGGCGGCCTCTGCCTCACGGGCAATCTAGGGGAGCAACATCCGTCCAGAGGGACGAGAGGGGGACAGAGCTTTGTCAGAGCTGTGTCACAACGGGAGAG